CCCCCCCCCCTCATACCGCGCCTGGTTCTAGGAAGTGCATGAGGAACGTTGGGGAAGAGACATCATACCGCCGGAGCCCTTGGTCGGGGGGCCGTGCGACATGATGCGGGAGGCGGTCGAAGTGGTGCGAGGCGTCCCTGCCATACGGCGTGACCACCGACCCAAACACCTCCGACAGTTCCGACGAGACCCTTGCACGCTGGTACAAGGAGCAGACGGATGTCACTGCGAGACACAGCAAAAACAAATGCCTCTTTTTTTGAGGGAAAAGGGAAAACTTTGGCGTGACTTTAACTGCAGTGTTTGAGGAAGAGTCCTCCAATCTCGCCGCATCTTCTCAAAAAAATAGTTAAAATCCCACATTTTTTATGAGACTTTATCTAAATCTGAGGAGATACCTTCAAACCAGCGGAGTTCTTCAAACTTTTCCCGTTTCCCTCAAAAACTGAGGCTTTGTTTATACCGTGATAATCTGGTCCGGTCACTACAGATGACCCGGGGCCTTGCCGCTGTCGGTGACACGAACACTCGTCCCTTGAAAATATGTCCCCGCGACAATTCGTCCCCAGTTAATCAGTCCTCGGATAAAATGTCCTCAAAAAAGTCGTCCCCGATTTATTTTGTCCTCAGTGACATTTCGTCCCCACTATGAATTTAGTATTTGGGGGGGGGGGGAGTGTTAGTACCTGTTACCAGAATTTAGTGGCCAACATTGTGGCCGCAGGCGCGGAGATACTCCAGGACTCGGCCCTCCTCCTTGAACTGCCCATAGGACTCGGCCAGGCGCTGCAGTCGCTGGTTGATGCGCTGGTACTTGGCGCGCTGGGGCTGCCGGATCTTCTTCCCTGCGTCCAGCTCCGCCATCATGACCGTCGAGTCCGCCTCCTCCTTCTTGAACTCCTTGATCAGGTGGAAGAGCGTGGGGTGGCTCTTCCCCACCACTGTCTGGGGAAGAAACCGACTCAGCTCCAGGACCTTTGGGACAGAGTCCAGTGTGTCCCGCATCGGTACTGACCTGGAATCTGTTGTGCCACGCTTCAGTCGCGTTGTTCGTGCGAGGCTCGTTGTTCAAGGCGGCGAGGTACTGGTTCCAGAGGGCGGGGGTGTACCGCGGCGGGGCTGCCCTCCGTCGGCCTCGCAGGACTCGGCCCTTGACGTACGTTGTTTCAAAGTACTCCCCGAAGGCGTGCATTGCGGGGGGCAAGTTGTTCTTCGCCTCCGTGAAGCATTCCTCGACGTCCTCGGGGGGCACGAACGCCAGGCCGACCATCTCCCGGAAGCTGTCACGCACTGAGGAGTCCTCCTCGTCTCGGTACGCAGCCTGGAGTCCCAGCGACTGCACCTTGCGAAATGCTGCCTGCCGCAGGTGAAACAGGCACAGCCTGAGCTGTGCGTTGGGGAAGAGGGCTGTGATGGCGTTGTTTAGGCCTTTCTCCAGGTCACTGATGAATGTAGTCGGGTGCGGTGCTGGCAGGCTGAAGTCCTCAATGGTATCCAGGATGGCGAGCAAGGCGCGCCTGTAGGAAGACTCCAGCTTGTCCGGTAGCAAAGCGTAAGCCAAAGGTAAGGTCTCGCCCCTGTACTCGCCATGGATGGCCAGAATTTTAGTGAAAATATCCGGCGCCGTGTCAAAAGTTCCATCTGCTTGCCAAATTTTTGCTCTGGACAACTTTTTGAGGGAAGATTTTGAAGCAAACACAATGATACGCTTCCCTTCCTCATCTTCCTGGAAGGAGTCGAAGCACATGAATTGCTTTCGCGCCAGAGTCAACCTGAACTCGTCCGGAATGTCCCCCAGCTCTTCTAGACTTTTCGGGTTCGTCGGCAGGCCATGTTGACGGCGGCGGTTAAAGGTCCGCTTCATGGCACCACGTTCAGGTAGATGGATAATGGCCTCGCTGGGGACCTGGGTGGAGGAGACCTCATTACGAACTATCTGCACTATCTCCACGAACTTGACGTCACGGTTTCATAGCGTCACCAAAGTGACAAATAATTGTAGCCATCAGGCATTCACTTCACTCACGTCAGGCATGTGTGTACGTAGTATTTGGGCAGGGGGGGCCTCGGGATGTTCGTCCGCGACTCGCTTCATCCGCGTGTACGCTTGCAGTGCCTGTGCCTCGGCCGGGTCGGGGGGGTGGCTCGGATGGTCGACACTCTTGAATACCGTGACGGTGCTGTCCGCGCCCCGCGGTGTTGCAGTGATTGCCCTCTTCTTGCACGCTGGTCTACTGCGGCACATCCAGTATGTGCGACTGCCATCTGCATTTTCACTGTGGCGCGAGTACAAGTAGCCCTTGTGGTTGAGAATGAAACCCCCCCTCTCACTATCCAAAAGGTCCCCATGCTCTTCGTCACTCATAATTTTGAATTTTGAAAATTGTTTGTGACCGAACTTGTTTCTAAGGAAAGCTTCTGAGACCGAGTCCCATTGTTGAAGGCGAGTGCAGCCCGCGCAGCCGGGAGTATAGCCAATTTTTTCGACGATACACTTGACACTTGCCCGTGCATACCCCCTCTCCCATTGCGGGTGGGGACGAGTGCGGACAAGTGAGGACAAGAAATGCGGGGTTGGAACCGGGGACGAAATTTCGCCGGGGACAAATAAATAGGGACGAAATGTGTGAGGACAAAACAGCTGGGGACAAAATAGCGTGGGGACAAATCAGTCGGGGACGAATAGTCATAGATCCGCCGCTGTCGAAGCTCGTCGGCATAGAGCTGCACTGCCCGACGCAAAATTTCCTGTACGCAACTGGATTGCTTTCAGTTCGTCCTGACAAAGCTAAAACGTACTAGTTGCGACCCTCTCAACGAGTTCGCGAGTGATTCGCCCAAGTTCACAAAAGGTGCGCATATGTATCACTTCGCGCGCTTTGACGAACCCAGAGCGAACATCGTTCGTTTTCCTGTGGTACGCTGCCAGCGCGCAGAGTGTTCGCTTGCAGTACGCCAAATGTTCGTTTTCAGTACGCTCTAGATGCACATTTGATGTAGGAATCTAGAGGGGGGGGG